TTGAACTTCTTTGGCTTCTTGTGTCCAGAATGACTCCAATACTTAATCCCATCCAAGAATTTAGCCAAATGAGAGCTCCATCCCTTGAAAATATCTCTCAAATAAGACAGTGATATGTAATTGATCATGCTGTCATACACTATTATCTTCAGGGATGGGAGCTGAAGTTGGACGAGAAGCCAGTGACGACGTTCCAAAACAGGGATAAACACCTGCGATCATAAGTAATAATTCATTTATTTGCGCACTTATTTATGAACACCTTTAAAAAATTTAAAAAATAAACACTAACCGTATCGACCTCCCACCATGCAGGATAAAGTTTAGCTTGTCCATTGCCCAACAAAAATGATTCATCTCGTTGATTCTTCAAGTGAACTGCGTGAAAAGCCGTCGGCATTATTGTATATAGCAATTTTTTTATTTTTCCTAAGCTTCCTTTATTAGTAGACGTGACACCCACGCATCGATATGATGTTTTACAAAAAAATACATATATTAGTGATTACATTAATTTTTAAACAAATTAATCAAATCATATATAAGACAAATATAGTCTTACCTCCCCATCCAAATAGCCACTGTCTTCAACCCCTAATAGCACACCCCACCAAGACCGATCAAGCAACAAAACATTTCATCGTTGAGTTTGCTGATGTCAGTGTAACACCCTTGGCTCCGCTCATGTAGATAAAAATCAACTGCGGTCTTAGCCCAAAGGGTATTATCCACAATTGTTTCCGGTAGTTGTCTCCTCTCCACTTCAGATACCGGAAAGGTACTAGCCGGTAACTCATACGAGAGCCAACTCTCATCCATCATGTCCGGAACCGGTGGGGGTTTCTCAATACTTCGATATATTACCCCATGTGAATCGGGCTCTGGAATGGTGGGAGGGACCTCTTCAACGATGACAGTGGCCTCTTGAACGGTGGGGGAGGAATCTTGAGGGAGAATAGGGGCCTCTTGAACGATTGGAGGGGACTCTTGAGGGATGACCGGTGAGTCGGGCTTCTTCTTGCGGAGTCTTCGCACCATTGGGGTGAACGGAGACGTAATAGCACGTCCACGCCGTCTGATGCGTGAACTCCGTCGTGCAAGGAAAACCCGACGTAAAGCATCCACCTTATCGGGCCGCTAAAAAAATTAATACAAATCAGTAAATAAACAGACATGATATTAAACAAAGACAAATATGTTTCAAACTAGCATTGTATTCACCCAAATCATTATTCTATCATAGTTCACAAAATGCTCAGATAACATTCCAGAAGTAAGCACTTATATAAACATTTAAAAGGACAACATATATAAACATTCCAGAAGAAGAATAGTTTACTTTCGCAACACGAAACTTAAAATCGTAACGCGAAATGACTATCGCAACGCGGAAATGGCTATCGCAATGCGAAATGAAAATCGCAACGACAAAATCGCAACGCGAAATGAAATCGCAACGACAAAATCGCAACGCGAAACACAACTCGCATTGCGATTTTCATTTCGCGTTGCGATTTTTTCGTTGCGATTTCATTTCGCATTGCGATTTTGTCGTTGCGATTTTCATTTCGCATTGCGATAGCCATTTCCGCGTTGCGATAGTCATTTTCGTGTTGCGAAAGTAAACTATTCTTCTTCTGCAAATTGAAACTTGAATGGATTGCATTACTTCAACCAAAAGACAAAAACAAAACCAAAACAAATACTAACAAAACAGTTTAGCAGTATTGGCAGCAACCGAATGAATTACGAGTATGAAAAATCTTAAACTTACCTCGTTGCGTAGAGTATGAACCTCATTCTGTAACGATGCTACCATCTCACGTAGAGCGGCTACCTCACCGAGTAATGTAGACACCTCAACACGCCATGCACCATCGTCTTTGCGTAAAGTACCGACCTCCTCACGCAAGGCATTGACCTCATCACGTAACTCCCCTAACTCATCCCGTTGAGGTGGAGGTGGAGAACAGGGAGATAAACGTCGTGGCATCTTTACCGGTCGCCTATCTTGCGGTGATGGTGGAGAAGAGGCTCGATGATGTGACAGAATAGGTGATGGCTGTCATTGTGGAGGTGTATAGCTGGGTCGATCAGATGATGGCTCTGGGTGAGGTGATAGCTCTGGGCGAGGTGATGGCTCCCGAAGTGGAGGCTGCTCATCAACCGTTCCATCAAAAAAACGCTTACTAGCTTGCCACCAATCAGTGGCAAGCTCAGCTTCCGTGGGTGTCAGCCTCTGTAGAGGAGTGTTGGCCTCCTAACAATATAAAAGCTCAAACAAAGTTAAACGTGTACTACTAATAACTTGTTTATAAACATATGGTAGTATTTATGTTAACTTACATTATTTATTGTCGTATACCGTAGTAAATCTTCCCATTGCAAGGTCCGTTTCCTCTTCCAGGAAATAGCCCTGGGAATATCATTTGAAGTTTTTATTGCATATGTCTTCATGGCGGGAAAGGCCTCAAATATCCAAATCTACAAACAATATAATAACAAACATTAGTAATTGTTAAATAATTACTTATAATTTTGGAAACATCATATCAAAATTCTTACCTTAAAGGCCCAAATAAAGCCTGTCAAAGTGTATTTGGAACCATCGCCATGCAAACTTTTTCGATCATCCAAGGCAGACGATAACTTATTCCATGTAGCTTTCCATAAATACGAGCCCCACGAAAACAGGTTCCACGCATTTAGGTCTTCTACCAATTTGATTAGATCATTTGGAATAGGTTGTCTGGCCTCTCTGCCTAAAAAGCCGGCATGCAAAAGAATTAGAAGGCATACTCAGACAACGTCGACGTCATCCATCCGAGTAAAACCATCTTTATTATTCAAAATCTTGTCAGGTCTTCTACGTGTAGACTCGGCCTCTCCAGCTCAGGAAAAACCCGGGATAGCCATGATGGGCGGTAATGTGTCTAGTGTACCGACCTACATCATCGTGTCCGAAGCGTAGACCGTGATTAAGCAAAACTCCTCCCGCCCAAAACACGTATACGCCGGTGGAAAATCAAACCATATCTCTTCATCACGACGTTGTATAGTCTCTGGTAGATCGCTAGTCATGGTTTGAAGAAACAGGTGTGTCAACATCGCATCTCCACCGGGATGTTGTACTTTCAGCCATGGCCCGAAGCATGTATCCTCAAACATTTTTCTTTGTGCAGGTGAAAGCTTCGACGCAATTGTTTTGGCCAGGCTGACTTTATTTCTCAAGGTCAATTGAGCCGAATAAAAGTTCTACAAAAAAATAAACATACTAAATTAGATATACCAAAAACTACACTGTGAAGATATACCAAAAACAATAATAAACATAAATAGTAGTAGTTTATTCTTCAAACTTAAATATGCAACACTGTGAATTTCGTATTTGTCTTTGTTTTTTGGTTGAAGTAATGCAATTCATTCAAGTTTCAATTTGCAGAAGAAGAATAGTTTCTGAAAATGAAAATCGCAACACGAAAATGATTATCGCAACAAGAGAATCGCAACGCGAAACTAAAATCGCGTTGCGATTTGCATTTCGCGTTGCGATTCTTGGTTGATTTAATAAGCAATCTAAGTGAAATGGTTAATCTATTATTGAAATTACCAGTAAAATTATCATCATTTCAATATGAAAAACCTAATAATAATGCAAAAATTTCAAAAAGAAATTAAAAAAAACTAACCCTCGTTGGTTGATTTGGTTGATTTTCCATTTCTGATTGTGAGGATGGCTCTGAGAGATTTAGATAGACGGATTTCGCCGGAGATGGGGACGGATTTCGTCGGAGATGGGTGAGAGAGTGAGAGATGGAGATGGGACTGAGTTGTGATTTTAGGTTTTAGGTTATGAGTTGCGATTACGGGATATACTGTGGACAGTTCAGTGTTCCAATATATTAATATTCATGTTTGGAATTTAAAAATAAAATACTTGGCCAGGATACTAATGGCGCTTTGAAAATCGCATTGCGATTATGTATTATCGCGTTGCGAAAGTCAGTATTGCGTTGCGAAAGTAAGTATCTCGTTGCGATTTTTTATTATCGCATTGCGATAGTCAGTATCGCATTGCGATTTTCCCAATTCGCGTTGCGATTTACTTATTCGCATTGCGATTTTCCCAATTCGCGTTGCGATTTACTTATTCGCATTGCGAATTGGGAAAATCGCAACGATACTGTAGACCATCGCAACGCGATTTTCAACTATCGCATTGCGAAAATGCAACGCGAATTTGCGATAATGGAGATCGCGTTGCGAATTAGCGATCGCATTGCGATTTTGTTGGTCATTTTGGCAAATCCGGAAAAAGTTGGTTAAAATCGTATATTATATGAGATTTTTGGTCACTGAGGTTATTTTCTCTTTAAAATTTTGTAGTAATACATTTCTAGTTGAAAAGGAACAAATATTTATTTTTTAAATATATTTTTCCAATCTTTAAAAGGTGTAATTGACCAAAGTATGTATTTTTAGTTAAGATATCACGTAAGATAAATGCATATTTTGTTAAATGCATCTTTTAAAATACGCGATTAACATGACACATCTTTATCTTGTATAATAAAAATATATATTATTTTAATAAATAATATTTAAAGAATATTATTTTAATAAATAATTATAGATATGATAAAAATTAAATTAAAATAATTATATTTATTTATATTTTAATTGATTCATCAAATATCAGAACTTTTAGAGATCCATTAATTGTTTGAGTGATCAAAGATATTCATATTATCCCATCTTATATGAATTCAAATCTTAACATTAACCTTAAAATGCGATATTTTATGCCTAATCAAAAATTTTATAATGCAAAATAGTAGTAATAATTTGAATAGAATCATTAATATTGAACTTTAGGGAAAATAAAGAAAGATTGAACTTAATTTGGGCCATAATAAATAAAAGTCCAAACCCTTATTAGGCAGCCATGTGTTAAGTCGCAGAGGGCTACAAACACACACCACGTGTCCCTAATTTTTCCCACCGGCGAAGCAAAGTACTTCCTCATCCCCGAAGTCCCCTTCTCTTCGTTCATTTCGGATCTAATCTAGCAACCCCAAAGAGAGAGAAAATGGCGCTAGAATGGGTAGTACTTGGCTACGCCGCCGGTGCAGAAGCCATCATGGTACTCCTCCTCACACTCCCCGGCCTCGATGCTCTCCGTAAGGGCTTGATCGCCGTCACGCGTAGCCTCCTCAAACCCTTCATGACGGTCATCCCCTTTTGTCTCTTCCTTCTTATGGATATTTACTGGAAATACGAGACCCGGCCCAGCTGCGAAGCCGATTCTTGTACTCCTTCCGAGCATCTCCGTCACCAGAAATCCATCATGAAGAGCCAACGCAACGCGCTTCTCATCGCCGCCGCTCTTCTTTTCTATTGGCTTCTTTACTCCGTTACTCACCTTGTTGTTAGGGTCGAGCAGTTGAATCAGCGCCTCGAGAGGCTTAAGAATCGCGATTGAGTTAGATAAGTGCTTGATTTTGAGAATGGTTGTGTCTGGGCTAGTCCTTTGTTGTGACCCTTCTGTTTAGATATTTCCTATCTCATGTGTTTTTGGATAATTTGAAGGACTTTATTATGGAATGAGAACTATATGATTCTGTTGTTGAATATTTATTTTTCAAGTAGTAATTTGATGAGAGAAAATGTTTCGGTTTTGGTTAAAATTAATGCCTTAGTTATGATTTTATTTTTGTTCACCTTTCAGAGCAGATTTTTGAGTTGGAATTGAGGCTTTAGTAATTCCGGCATGCAATTTTTCTACTATTTGAACAAGTTTATTATCATCTGGGATCTGGGATTGTAGCTTCCATGGGTTTATTCATGCACTATTTATATTTTCAAGTTCAGTGCCTGCCATTTGTCTTGTTGAGCTAGTGTTAATTGAGACATGATTTTAGCCGAGACTGAAGTTTATAGATGTCTACTGATTATATCATCAATGATCTAAGCAATTTATTCTTATATGGATGGCCTTCTTTCGGCATTTCTTAGCTTTCATTTTAGTTTATGGCTTTGCCTTCTAGTATGTGTTTCTTAATCTATTTGTTTCATTAAAATTAATAGATGGTTTAGGATTTTGTTTCTCATAATTGAATTCTAGAAACTTTATTTTATCTAATTTTGCTGCTCAAACATAGCCTTTTCCTTCAGTACGTTGAAAGAAGTGGTCCCTCACCATAGGTGCACTATGTAAACTGATGTTAATTGTTTCATACAATCCGGGAAGTTATTTGACTTTCTTGTGATTTGGTTGATTTTACTCACTAATTCAATCTCCTGAAAAGATTTGATTAAGTTCTCATTTCTTTGCTCACTAATTTAATTCTTATTTTGATTTCTTATCACGTTAAACTTGGTGCGGTTTTTGATCTAGTTGGGATCTTGAGACATTTTCTTTTTGATAATCCAAATCAATTTGGTCGATCTTGTTACGCTGATCATTGATATGGAATGCAGATGTGGTTAGATCCTGAGTCTCTCTTTATTGGACTTGCATTCTCTTGATGACAATCGATATGTAGAGCTGAGTATCGAGTTAATCTTGTTTTCTGGTCAGTCCTATATAATTCCTATGGGTTTATTTGATCCTACAGTTGGTGTAATTTTCAAGTTTTGTTGTTTTGAATATTGGTTTTAGGCTTTGTTCTTTCCGGAGATAGATAGTGATACGATATTGGTTTGTTTCGGTGTATTTGTCTCGAGCTTAGTTATACATTACTGGTTTGTTACCGGGATGAATTGAGGGGGTACCGGGAGTGCGATCGTACTTTGTATCTTTTATTAATGATATAATTTTGCATCCCTAAAACCTTTGAAAGTGGTACTCCTGACATAAAAGCACGTGTCCGTACATATTTCTGGAGGTCCTTTTGGTTTTCTATAGCTAGATCAAAGGATGGTTGGTTGTTGCACATATTTGAGACTTGTTAAGCATTGAAATTAGATGATCTCATGTCATCATAACTTTTGATTTTTTTTCTTTTCCATTTAATTGATTGTTAAGTATTGTGTTATAGGTGTTTTCGATAGTAATTTGGTGAGGTCGTTTGCTTACTTCATCAACATTGTTGTATATGTTCATTTTAATTGTTAGTTTTGTTATTCATTATTAAAGTGTATGATGTGAAAAGTGAAGAGTATGGTTCTTTAACATTTAATGTATTTTTATTAATGTTATTTAATAAAAAGACATCTAAACCTTTTGTTTTCTTATTTTCCCCTTGTGTATCCGCCCGTAATTATCAATATCATCTTTTAATTTTAAAACTATTTCCATCATTTTAAAAGTTTGATTTAAATTAGATTAATTAAATATTTTTCAATTTATTCCTGTTTTCTCATAACAATGCATATTTCTAATCTCAATTTTCGAACTTCAATTAGACTCTAGATTTTAACATTCATTAACGATCACTTATGTATTTGTAATGCGTTTTAAACATGTTTATAGATTGTTCATTTGGTTTAAATTAAATTCAGTTAAAATATATATTTTTTTTGAATTAATCAATGATATTCGATCTATTGACCAACTCATCCAGATCGGGTACTACAGAGGCCAGGGCGATTCTCCCAATCTAGTTTGCTCCATTCGTAAACGTTAGGATTCGAACCCTAAACTTTGCTTAAGGGACCTAATGCCTCATCTCACTAGATCAACTGGTTGTTGGTAGATAAAATATATTTTAATTTGAGTATGGTATGAATAATTAAATTTAATTAATAATTTTTAAATATTAATAAATATATAGTTCATATATATTAATAATGGTTAAATATAATTTTTTTTATAAAATTTAGATATGTAACGTAAATAGTTTTGTAATTCTTCGTGTTTTGTAATTCTTCGTGATTTTTGTCAACAGAGCTTTTATAATTTAATTCGTTTCAAAAAAAACCTTTAGAATTTAATTTATTAAAATAAAAATATATATTACAAGTACAATTTAATAACAAAATTTATATATTTTTATTTTTTATGACTACCGATTTTCAATCTATTAATCAATTAATCCAAATCAGGTACTGCAGAGGCAAGTGCGACATTCCTAACTAAATTTACTCAATTTGCAAACGTCAAGATTCAAAATATTGACCTTAGTTAAGAGATCTAGTATCTCATCCCACTAGATTAACTGATTGTTGATATATATTTTTTTATTTTTAATAAATATATTAAAATAAGATAATATACATTGTTAATATATTAATATGTCGAATAATATTAAATTAAAAAATATTATTATCAGATGTATTCTTGTATTTAGGATCTTGTTAAGATTAAAATTCCATTCCAAAGTTCCTTAATCAGCGAGACATAGAGACGCGGTTGAACAATTTGCAGGTCAAGAGGAGACTTCCAATTCCATTCCAAAGTAGAACCGCCATTAGCATCTTCTTAGATCTGTTTGTTATCCCCTAGTACAAACAACATTTTCTGATCTTACCAGGTAAGTAAACTCATCGCAAATATTTTTCCCCTTTTCATTTAACTGCTGCCAAGCTGCTTTATCTTGTACGTCAGTTTACTTCCTTTGGTATCCCCTTTTCTGTGTTCTTGATTTTCGATCTATATCACTGTTCAGATTGTAGCTTTCAAGCTAAGACATAATACCCAGACAGCAATAATGGCTGAGATGAAAGACAAATTGAAAGGATTCATGAAGAAAGTCAACACCCAATTCTCATCGTCTTCTTCTTCATCATCTGGTAAATTCAAGGGCCAAGGTAGAGTCTTGGGTTCCTCTTCTTCTGGTCCCGTTAATAACCCCGTCCTTACCCGTCCCACTCAATCTCCAAAGCCCACCCCTTCTCCTTCCTCTTCCAATTCTAAGCCTGTTCTACCTTCAAAACCACCAAGTTTTGATCAAAATAAGCCCAGTTCTGCCCATTATCCCGAACCTACTCACAAAACGGGAAGTGGGTTTGATCCTTTCGATTCATTTATGACTTCTAGCAAGGTATCCAAAAATGGGTTCACTTTAAATGTGTTTGAGTGTCCGATTTGCGGCGCTTCTTATAGGTCCGAAGAGGAGGTGTCTATACATGTAGAAACTTGTGTCGATACTAATTCATCGGATAGGAAAGGGAGTGATGGTGATTCAGGATCCAATGAGAAAGGGTTGAAAGAGTCTAGAAGTGATTAGAGGTCTGCGTTGGTTCATTTCTTTCAAGTAAGCCACCAGAAGGGTCAATTGAGGTGGTTCTCAAGTTGCTGAGGAACATAGTGAAGGAACCTGGGAATGACAAGTTTTGGAAGATTCGGATGGGTAATCCGAAGATAAGGGAAGCAATTGGTGAGGTAGCAGGAGGAGTCGAACTGTTGGAGCTTGTTGGATTTGAATTGAAGGAGGAAGGAGGGGAAATGTGGGCAGTCATGGAAGTTCCTAAAGAGGAACTTATTAGTTTGATCAATAAGGTAATAATGTTGTTGGAACCAGGAAAGATGGAACAATTCAAGAAAAGTGAAAATATTCCCCCTGCATCTCCTGGTGAGAAAGAGGAAAGTGTTGAGCCAAAGAAGATAGACAGAAAGGTAACTGGATTGTTGCAGATATTTCTATTATTTAATCAAATCCCCCCACTTCCTATTTTTATGTGTTTGCTAGTGTATTTATACTTATAATCCTTTACTATTCATTTTGATATCTTGTTTTAAATCTTGACTAGGATGAAATTATAAACCGTTATTTACTCTTTACATGGTGCGACTGACTGCTGCATATTCACAATGTAGAGAGAAGTAGATGAGAAATACAGGCAAACCCTGAACTTTAAATATGACTAGATGCTATACTGTGTGTGTGTTTGTAGATTTCGGTTTACATGGCACTAGTGGCTGCTGTGATAATATGTGTGTACATATATAAGGTTACAATTGGACGCGAGAATGAACCTAGTGGATATGTGTGTTTAAGTTTTCAGTTTACATGGTGCGACTGACTGCTGACAAATATAATATATAAGGTTACAATTAAATGCAAAATTTCAGTCTATTTACAATGGATCTAGTGTATCGTCGTCGTATTTTGTTCATACAGACAGGAACATGATGAAATAATTGGTTAATGTGGTCCTCTGGAAGGGCTCTTGTCAAATAATAACTTCTTTGATCCAGAAATGTTTTCAATAGATTACCTTGATGTTATGTATGTATGAGATCCCGGTCCTGCTACACTTCTGGAATGTTACTAAAAGAGTGAATGATGCTTTTTGTCTGTGGTTGGTGTAAATTGGACTTTACCAAATAGTTGAACATTACTTTCTTTTTGATCATTTCATTCTTGCAAACTTGCTCATTTTACTCGCTCTTCTCCTTTTTATCTTGTAGAGTGTTCATATTCAGTGATTTTGGACAATTTTATCATGATATTAGATGTTCACCAGTCTCTCATTCTTCTTAATACATTCAATTCATTCTTATATATTTTATTAGGTCTTGCAGCATATCCCTAACTCAGAACATGGATTTTGTTTTGTAGATCCGAGTCTTTTTCTCTGTTCCTGAGAGTGTAGCAGCAAAAATTGAGCTACCAGATTCTTTCTATAACCTGTCAACTGAAGAGGTGAGAGAGAAGCGGAGATGAGAAAGAAAAAGATTGCTGAATCC